CGAGCCAGCCCTTCCCACCGCCTTCCCTCCCCTTCTACCCACCCTCTCCATACCGCCCCTGCCAAGAAGCTCAACTTTCCAAAGAGGAGAAATGTGAAGCCCATCACTTCATCAGATTTCCTGAGCGGAACCTGAGCAGTGACACCAGGAAGGCATTGCAGAGAAAACCAGAAAGCCGGGGGTTCACCTCTCTTGGCTGTGTGACCCTGGGGAAAGCCCGAAATCTCTGCACCCACAGACAGGGCTCCAGGGCCTGCAGCTTCCTCTGGGCCTCAGAAATTCCACACCTATGAACAGGGACTTCTACTTCCCACCCTCCCAGTGACTTAGCTGAGTGCTGCACACTGATCTGTGAGAAACCAGAAAGGAGGGACAGACAGACACCTTTTGCTCTGATTTAAGCTTCAAAGTTACTCTTCCTGACACAGTAAGAAGCCAGACGAGGCCTGGAGAGAAAGCTCAGCGGTTAAGAGCACCGGCTGCTCTTCCAGAGGACCTGAGTTCAATTCCCAGCACCCATATGGTGACTCCCAACCATCAATAGTGAGATCTGGCGCCCTCTTCTGGAGTGCAGGTGCACATGCACAGAGAGCACGCACATACACAAAAGAAGTAAATGTCTTTAAATTGAAAACAGAGAAGATTCACTGCGTGGATGTAAACACTATTGCCAAAGGCACGCAGCTGTGTCTCATCTTTATTATTTTTCAAACCTCTCCACTCTCACATGGCTGGTTAGTTATTAATCAGCTTACCACGGCACTAAACTATTTAAAAATTCTCTTAATTCCTGCTGGGAAGTATGCATACCCACTGGGCATATAAAGCATGTTTTATAAGATTTTAATTAAAAGCCTGAAACAGAAGGCCCACCCTTCCCCCAGGGACCCTGAGAACAATGAACTAAAGAAATCCCAGAGAAGTGGGTGGGCTGTAACCGAAGCCAACCGCAAGAATCCTGAACAATATTTGTCTTCTCTGATCCAGGAGCAGAAGGCTGGGAGTGGCCTCTCTCAGACAGAAAAACAGCCACCAAGGACAGAAGGAGAGGGCATGTGGCTGCTTTCCCCGTGGAAGGGGGGTGGGACACCAGGCCGTCGGCATGGGTGGGGTGGCCCTGGTGGGGGCACTGGCTCAGAGGGCTCCTCTGGAGAGTGCAGCGTTCTCTGTAACCCAGGCTGGCCTCAAACGCACTGGGTAGCCAAGGCTGGCTCCACCTCCCAAGGGCTGGGGTTCCAGGAATGTGCTGCCACACCCCAAAACTGCGACTGTCTTTACAGATTCCTCCATCTTCGGCAAATCACTCCAGGCTTGTCATCCTTCTGGCTTCATTTACTCAGACTCATCCCTCCAAATTCTGCAAACTCTCAGTCCTGTGCTGGAAGGTAACTGGGGGCCGAGAAGGAGCTGGGTGCTGAGGAGAGCCGGGCTCCTGGCCCCGATGTCCCTAGGCCCCACCCACTTCGCCACAGGATGAGCCCTGGCTTGATTTTTTCTTAATTATTAATACGTCCAGCCAGCCTAGAGGAATGCAGCAAACAGACGCATCGATGTTTTAAAGCTTTCTCCGGTTTCACCGGGATAGCTCCCAACTGTCTGTCCCCAGACCAACTGCGTGTCTGCTGTGCCTGTGGCATCTGCTGGAAATGCCACGAAGCTGGGCTGCTCTGCACAGTGAACGGTTCCGATGTGGTGCAGCAGTGGTCCCGCCGCAGCAGAGGACTCTGGGATCTGAGCACACAGAAGAGATGGCGGCCACAGGAAACGTTGCTCATAGGAGGCTCCAGTCCCAGCCTAGACTAGAAACTCGTCAGACACGAGTGTGGGACGCTCCCAGAGTGCACCTCAAAGCTCCTGTCCCGACCGTACCCCTTTTTCTGTTCACCGTGACCAGGCCCCTCACAGACATTGCCCCCCCTCCCCCCGCATCCTAGGCTGAATGTTAACACTCCCGTAATTAAGGAAATGGACAAACCCAGGCCAGGAAGGGGCCGGGGAAAAAATTCAGTTAGTTTCTGAGAAGTTTTTACTCAGACTCCCAGAGGGGCTTCAACGGGGCTCGGGGTTGAGTGCTCAGAGCTCTCCGTGGAGGCCAATTCCCACTAACCAGAGGCTGGCAAACACTGCCACTCTATTCTGGCTTCCTCGCTTGTGTGCACACACGCACACACGCACACACACACACACACACACACAAACGAACACACACACACAAATAATTTACAAAAACAATGAAATTATGTTAAAAACAAACACCCCTGCACCAGAGACGGCCCTGTGGTTCCCACCCTCTCCCGGGGGACAACAGCTCGGTCACCAGCACACACGCCCTGTATCTCGACATGTGGCTGCCTCTCCAGGGGCCTGCGACTCCCATGCACGCACAAACACGCTTCATCAGGAATTCAGAAATCATTCGAAACTACCCCAAATCCAAATACAACCACAGCCTTCCACAGGCCTGCCACAACTGTGCAAAGAATGGTGGTGAGGAAGGCGGGAGGGAAGTTCCCCTGTGGGCCGGGGAGGGGGTGGCGTGCTCTCTCCCAGCTGCCGGTGAACCCCCACCCCCCACCCCCGTGCCGCTCACGGGAGGCCGAGATGGCTCTCACTCTCCCCAGCGTGCCCTGCAGGAGCTGGGTTGGCCTCTCACGTGAGGAATCCCCCTTAACCCTCCCACATGCAAGCACCCAGGGTGCTTTTGGGCCTCTCCTCCGGCGGTGGTGTAAGCAGTGTATCCGGACCCTGTTCTGCTCAGCAGCGCCGACACGGGCTCACTCGCTGTGCTCCTCTGTGACCACTTGGCCATCATCTTCTGAATGAAGAAGTGTGCTGTTCCCTGACGGAATACACACACACACACACACACACACGCACACGCACACGCACACGCACACGCACACGCACACGCACACACACACACACACACACACACACACACACGCCTCTAGACGCACAGTTCTCCTCAGCGAAGCTTCTGCCCTATCTAGGAAACAGAGACAGGTGGCCTTGCTGAGGCCCTGGCCCACACTCTAATTGACAGTTAACACCGTCCCTGGGGCAGATCAACAAGAAAGCCTGGCGTAAGCTGGCTCTCCGCTGACAGAGCAGACCTCGCCAGAGTCAGCTGGGGCCACCACTACTGCCAGGGTGTGCGCCAAGGCCAGCGCTCAAACTGCTTCAGCCTTGGAGCCGTTTTCCCAAACAAACCAGCGCTTGTCCATTCATCCCTGGCCAGAGCGGGACGCTGGTGTTCTTTGTCCTTACACTAGCACAGAAACGGTTTCAGGAGGGATGAACAAACGTTCTCTAAGGCTTAGTCACCTGACTCGGCAGCTGTTGACTACCTAGGTCCTTCGACTGCAAGAGAGGGTAATTTATGGACAGTGTGTTGGCTTTTTTGTTTCTTCCTTGAGCAATTTTATTTCATGTGTACAGATACAACTTTTCAGTTTTGGCTGGAAAACACAGTTACTCCTTACTACCTAAAGCAAGCACTTGTGGCCTTCGCCTTCCTGTGAGCAGACGACAGCGGCCCTGGTCACCAGGAGCAACACTGACCCCAGCTCCTCTGCAACCTCGAAGCTTCCCGTCTGTCACCTCGCAGTGGGCAGACAGCAGTGCCTGCTCTCCTTCCCTCCGGAGAAGCGCCGAGGCCTGCTCTGGGCGTCATGGGTGGCCCCGCCCGGCAGCCCTGGTCTCCGGGACCGACTCAGGCTTCTCACGGCACCGTGCAAAGGCTCGGCCACAGGCCGTGTGTCAAACTCTGCTGCTCCCAGCAGACAGCACATTACCTGCCTTAAAAACAGCAAACCCGGCCTGGAGGTTACCTCGGGGGAGACCACGCGCCAAGCAGCCTGGGCTGATGAAAAAACGTGTGATTCAAAATGTGAGGTTGTCTTTAAGCCGTAAGAGGCTCGGGACCCTGACTCACCCAGGGTGCACCTATGCGCATGCAGGCCGACATGTGTACATCTAACAAGAAAAAGTCATCACCGAGAACACAACCACATTCGGCACACAACCGCGCAGCTTGCCTCCTGTTAACAGTCCCTGCTGAGGGTGTGCTACCCTTCACACACGCCGGGTCAGCACGCTCTGCAGGCGGGGAAGTGCCCGCCCTTCACACGTGCTGTGATCGCACCACACACCACACACGCCCTGTGACCACACGCCCTTCACACGTGCCGTGTGACCATGCTGCAGGCCGCACATGCCAGGCTTGTGCGCAGCACACAGGCCTGCACACCTGGCCCTCGCTCTCTCAACTTGGAGACAGGGTCTCACCACACCGTGCAGGGTGGCTGTGAAGCCATTCTGAGTGTTAGCTGGTGCCCGAATATGGGTCCTCCATCTTCTGTCTCCCCGGCCACAGGGAACACAGAGGCCTGTGCCATGAATATTAATTAGACAGTCAATCGATATATAGCAAAGTGTGTACAATCAAATCTATACCATAGGCACTCGGGAGGCAGAGGCAGGAGGATCTCTGTTAGTTCAAGGCCAGCCTGGTCTACAAAGCAAGTCCAGGACATCCAGGGCAGCACAGGGAAACCCTGTCTCGAAAACCCAGAAACCGAAAGGACCTGAGCTGTGACACTCAGCAGGTCCTGCACAGGCACAGGGAGGGACCTGAGCTGTGACCCTGGCCAGCACAGGCACAGGGAGGACCTGAGCTGTGGCACTCAGCAGGTCCTGCCCAGGCACAGGGAGGGACCTGAGCCGTGGCACTGGCCAGCACAGGCGCAGGGAGGGCCTGAGCTGTGACACTCAGCAGGTCCTGCACAGGCGCAGGGAGGGACCTGAGCTGTGGCACTCAGCAGGTCCTG